GGTGAATTTTATATGGAAAAGATTTCACATATATATATATTAGTGATGATTTCTGGATTGTTAATATTGAACATTATCTTCAAATTAAACAGTGACTGGATTTGGTTTAATTGCTGTTTTAATTATATTTTAAAATATATGGAATTATAAGCCTTTTCACCACGACAAGGTACCAGACTAAAAAAAGGTTTTTTTTGTTTTTTTTTAATTTTAATCTGTTTTTTTATTTATATTAATATGGGAATATTTATTTTTATGTAGTAAACACAATTTTATTCTGCCTCTATCTAATCTTCCTCAAGATTTCCAAAGCAATCCTCAATATCTAAAGATTCGTCAGAAATAGTGTCATAATTAGCTGATTCTTCCGAAACAACGTCATCATCATTTTCATTATCGGTCCACTTGATTAATGTTTTCGCTTCAGTTGATAATTCTTTCGTCATCTTATCTTTTTGTAATCTGTTAGCACTAATACTAGGATCCGACGAAATAAGAAGATGGTTCATTATATCTTCATTACTGCTTTTACGAGAACAAGTTCTACTATTATAACGTCTGGCAGCTTTAAATATTTTATTTCCAGATTCCTGAGCCTCTTATGAAAAGTAGCCTATAGGTAGAACTAATTTTCGCATAATATTACTACCATGTAGTAGCACTTTATGTACAGAAGGGAGCATTCTGTACCATCCGTACAAATTAATAAATATTTCTGCAGTTTCTCTGGCATATATTTCAAATTTTTCCATATCTAGTGTGTGATTACTTGCGGTTACATGTAAGATGTTACCAAACCTTTCTACTAGTCTTTGGTCGATTCCAAGTACTCTAGAAACAATCGCAGGATTCGAAAAAAACCACCTAGTTGTATTGCCATCATTAGTTGTACCGTGTCCTTGTTTCACAACATCAACTGTTATAGACAATTGGGATTTTAAATCATCCTGAATTTGTTTCTTTCTGATTTGTTGTAACATCTTATTATTTCCTGTGGCACAACTCTCTTTAAAATCTAGGTTATACGAAACGTGTAATAAGCACTCCATAAATCGTATCCAGCAATGAAGGGTGGATAAACCAAATTTATAATTCTCTTCGTTAATTTTTAGTTCTTTTACATAATGTGTTAAAAAGTAATGGATATATACTTTTAACGAATGAGTCCGGATAGAGGTGTGGGAGTTTTATAGGGGAAGTGAATCGGACACAAATGGCTTTCTTTTCGCCGGCCTTTTAGACCGACCTTTTATTACAAAAAAACAAATAAAAGAACCAAAAGAAAAACCAATGCACAATTATAACAAATAAAACTTAACGAGGCTGAATAAGGAATATTAATTGGCCTCGTTTCTGCCTAGCTCGATGCTGGGTCGCCGAACTCGCAGGATTGAGGCAGGCCAAGATTCCTATGAACAGAAAAACACGACTATGTGTTAGACACACGTACACGGTATACGTATCTTCGTCGCGCTCGTTTGCTCGCGCTCCTGGCTTCGGAATTCGAACGTACCGGAGCGGAGAATTGTAAACTTGTCGTAAATTACGAAATATAACAGTGGACTGTATTTTGGCTAGGAAAAGTGTTGAGTTCGTCGCGGGCATGGGGAAGTGAATCAAACGACTCCCCACAATCGGTTACTTTTTGAAACTTTTATTCTCCTCTAAACTACTCTCTCGAGTCCAGTCTATACACGAGGCTCGCCGTTCAGCCAACTGACTCTCGCCGCCCCGGCGCATGGCAAGCCCGTTTGCCGCGCCTCCTGGCGGCACCTACTATACCCAACATCTTCCCTTCAGAAAAGTCAGCACTCCAAATAGGATTTAGAGGCTGGATCTAACATCAGTCTTCTTACTGGTGCTCGAAGGCGGGTTGGTCTCGTAGATGCTGGTTGGGTGACCGCTTCTTCGAAGTGTTGGTTCCCGGACAACTGAGTTTCCTGCGAAGTGTTTAGGTGTATGCCAGTGTCGGGAACGGTCTGCGGAACAGAAGAGGTGTTTGGGGGTGGTTCGTAGAATCCCCAGTTGTCGATCTCATCTCCTCCTCTTGGCTTTGCCGTTCCACATCCTCCCCTCCAAATGTGGTTAATATGTCGATCAACCACCTTGCCGTTGTCAAGGCGTACCGTATAGCGCGTCTTAGATAAGATCTTCCAGACCTCGCCCTGTTCACGCTTATTCCTGCTCGTCAAGACCACTACACGATCTCCCACGGAAAGTTGACGTGGAATGGTGCCGTGGGGTCTGTTAAACTGCTGCTTCATACCTCGTCGTATTGCCGGAGTAGACGCTCCAGAATGTTCACCGGTTGAGAACTTAGGAAACAGTTTGGTGAACGGCGTGTTCATCCGTCTGCCGAAGAAGATTTCGGCCGGAGATTTCCCGGTATCTGTTGCGGAGCACGGCGAATACCTGTAGCTGTACAAGAACTCGTATAACTGTTTCTTCCAGTTTGTAGGATCCTTCGCGATAGCTCTTTTTACCGTATCCACCATTCTTTCGGCCTGACCGTTCGATTGTGGATGATTTATTGCTGACAAGAGATGCGTACATTGCATTTCACGACAGAAGACAGCGAATACTTCTGCTGTAAACTGGGTGCCGTGGTCAGTGACGATCACCTCGGGAGCGCCATATCTGGCGAAAATTTCGCGACACATCTCGACGGTACGGCTTGCTGAAATCGAGGTTGAGAGTGATACGTCTAGGTATTTAGAGTATGCATCCACAAAAATTAGGATGTATTTTCCGTCGATGGGACCAGCGAAGTCCAGGTGCACCCGCTCAAGGGGACGTGATGGTACCGGCCACGGGTTGAGTGGCACCTTGCGAGGAAGCTTCTGGGTCAGCGCACAAGGATCGCACTGGCGTACAAGCTGTTCGATGTCTCCTGACATTTTTGGCCAGTAGACGTACTCTCTTGCGAGTTGTTTCATTCGACGGATGCCCGGATGTCCTCGGTGGAGAGCGGTCAAGATAGCTGGCCTCAGCTTGTCAGGGATGACAATCCTATCACTGAGTAGGAGTGTACCGTCCACTATGGCGAGTTGATCGGCGCGTCTTTGGTAGTGCTGTAAGGACTCAGGATTCCCAGTACTGCTCCAGCCTTCTCTGATGGCCTTGAACACAGCGGTGAGGATGGAATCATCTTCCGTAGCCTTTTTTAGCTTGCCTCGAATTTCCTTTCCGAACGAGTCGATGCAAGTATTCCTGACTTGGAGGAGTTCCTTTTCGACCTCCTGCACCTCCGCCACCTGTAGTTCTTCGGCATTATCCTGGCGGAATTTTACCATCAACCGCGACAAGGCGTCTGCTTGCCCGAAGTCTTGAGTACGAATGTATTCAATCTTGAAATCATACCCAAGAAGACGCAGTGCCCAACGCTTGAGCCGTGCTGCTGTGGTTGGTCTCAGGCCCTTTGTGTTTTCGGTTTGGAGCAGGGCCACCAGTGGCTTGTGATCAGTTTGTAAGACGAACCGTCTGCCCCATACGAATTTATGAAAGCGTTCAACTCCAGTGACGAGCGCAAGTGCTTCCTTTTCCAGCTGGGAATAATTCCGTTGGGAGTCCGTGAGACTTCGACTCATGTGATAAACGGCGCGTTCGTGTCCGTTAGAGTCGCGTTGAAGTAGGACTGCTCCGATCCCAGTGGAGCTAGCATCGGCAGCCACTATCAGTGTCTTTGTTGGATCGTAGTGTTCTAGCAGGAGTGGACTCAGCATCACATTTTTAATCTTTTCCATAGCAGCGTCGTGATGTTTATTCCACATCCAAAGCTTGTTTTTGCGTGTCAGCTCTTCGAGGGGACGCTTTATTTCATGTAAATAGGGAATAAATTTCCCGTAGTGGTTCACCAGACCGAGAAGACTCTGCACCTCTGAAACATTTTTTGGATTAGGCATGCTTGCTATGGCCCGTGTTGCCTCAGGATCGGCAGAAATGCCATGAATATTCACTATCAACCCAAGATATTTGATTTGTTGAACAGTGAAAAAGCACTTCTCGAAGCTGAGTTTCCATCCCTTTTCCTCCAGGCGTTGCAAGGTCCGCACTAGACGCTCGTCGTGCTCCTGACGATTGCAACCTACAACTATGACATCGTCAAGGTACGCGTAAACTCCTTCGAGCCCAGAGAGGGTAATATCCATTGCTTGCTGGAAAATCGCCGGCGCCGTTTTGATACCGAAGGGTAGGCACTTGAACCGAAATAGCCCTTTCGGAGTAGTAATGGTAGTAATTTCTCGATGGGCCTCGTCAATCTCAAGCTGCATAAACGCCTCGCTTAGATCGATCAAACTGAAAAAACAACCACCGTTAAGTTTTGTAATAATGTTATCCACACTAGGCAGAGGATGACGGTTGTCTGTCAGAGCGCGGTTGACTCCGGTAGAGTAGTCGGCACACAGTCTAATTTTCCCATTGTTTTTCCTGACAATTACGATGGGTGACGCCCAATCCGATGACTCCACACGCTCAATGATATTCCTTGATTCCAGTCGCTGGAGTTCCTCTTCGAGGGGCTTCTCCATGGCAAACGGAATTGGACGACAAGGAATTTGTACAGCCCGCGCGTCACTTGTGAGATTGAATTTGACTGTGAAATCGTGACACTTCCCGAGTTCGTTCGAGAACAGGTTAGGAAATCGTTTGGTGACTGCGTGCGCGTGTGCGTCGCCAGTTGGCGTGGCTGTCGGTACAGCTTTGTTTGTAACTCTTGTAGTGGTTTGTATTGTCCCCAGGAGGAAGAAATATGCAAACTGCTGCGGTAAATAAAACTCTTTATTCTTTCGTACTACACGTCGTTTATTAACTGACGATACCGAGAGGGAAACTTGAACTAACGCTTCCTTTTGTGTCTTACGAGGCGCGCGTCTTATTATCTAAACTTACCAACTACTTATTCTAAAATCCCTAACATGTGACTAGAAACTAACTAACCTAACTTAACCTAGTTGACTTAAGATGGCGCGTCGACCGCCGGCGACACTGGTCGCTGGTCGCTACACTCTTTTGGCCGATGGCGCAACTGCCGGCCCTAAAGAGTACGAAGTGTTCAGCTCTGACAGCGGAACAGACCAAAGCTGGAGATTATCGACGGCGTTTAGGCCGAATAGATTCACACCATTCCGATTGGCGACGTGAATATCGATTTCCGCTTCTCGGTCGAGCACACTGACCGTCGTGCGAAAGCAGCCGAGTGTCCCAAGCTCGCTTCCTCCAGCGTGTACCACCGTTTCGCTTTTCGTAAGGCCCGGGGATCCCAGGTGGCGCCAACAATCTTTCCCGATGATAGTGATATCCGAACCGGTATCGTATTGAAGAGTTAGGATTTTGTCGCCCACAGATACCGCCACGAAACGTCGACGTCGTTTACTGACAGTAGAAAGTGCCAGCGTGGTTACACTCTTACTTTTTACGACAGATTTCAGCTGTTTCCCTTCTGATCGGCACACTACGGCGATGTGGCCCTTTCTGCCACACTTGTTGCACATTGCATCCCGAAATTTGCATTTTACACGAGGGTGATCGCCACCACAACCGTTACATTTGACACTTGTGGGAGGTTGAAACGAACTGACCGGAGGTTTCGGCACTTTCGGATCGTACCGTTTCGGCACTTTCGGATCGTACCGTATCGGCTGTGTCACTTTGAGAACCGAAGGCGACACAGCGCTCAGCGGATTTTCAAGCGTTTTCATGCTTGAAGATATGTTTAAGTACGCTTCCAGTTCGGTGACAACGTCTTTGAGGGAGGCTTCCCGATTTTTCTCGACAACTCGGAGAGCTATCCTCTTCAGCTCGTCGTGTTCACTCGAGTAGCAGAATGACTGTAAAAGTAACAGTATTCTCAACCCATCGTCGGACAATCCCGGTCGATCAAACTCGGCCGCGTGGCGATTGATGCGATCGATATGCTCCGTGATTGGGGTAGACTTGTCGTATCGGTAATTCAGGACTTCTATACGTCGGCGTATTACCGACACCTTGTCTCGGAAGAGTTCCTTTAAAACTTCCAGAAGGTTCTCTTGACTCATCTCCGACGGATTTAACGGTGCGACGTGGTCCACAAGTCTATCAAATTCCGATTGACCGAGCTTGTCAAGTACGAGACGTGTTCTCATTTCCGGAGAGAGACACGCTGCCTCCGTGCAGATTGTAAACTCGTGACGGAGAAGCCATTTCCTGAACGGCTTTGTATCCTCTGCCGTCCCGTATGTATATTTTTCGATGCGAGCACTTAACTGATTATAAGCGTCGATTTGAGGTGGTCCTCCAGCCTTCCCTGCACTACTCTGTTGAATTTGTAGTTGAAGCAGGCTCTGAATGGCTGACGTGAGAGACTTTAGGTCGTTATTGGCGGTCGCCATGATGCACGTTTCCCACACGACACAGGTTCTGCTGAATTTTGGTACGAAAATTCAGACTTCTTTAGCCGCAGCGCCAGTTGTTGAGTTCGTCGCGGGCATGGGGAAGTGAATCAAACGACTCCCCACAATCGGTTACTTTTTGAAACTTTTATTCTCCTCTAAACTACTCTCTCGAGTCCAGTCTATACACGAGGCTCGCCGTTCAGCCAACTGACTCTCGCCGCCCCGGCGCATGGCAAGCCCGTTTGCCGCGCCTCCTGGCGGCACCTACTATACCCAACAAAAAGAATTAAACTTCTTTTCTTCGTCGATTCAGTGGTCGATTGCCCAGTGGACGGGGATGCAAGAGGAGGTTGTAAGGCTCCTAATGCACTGTTCCCGTGAGTATGCACACTGAGTCTGTGCGTCGAGTCGCACTGCAGTGCACTGCACGACCGTCAATCTGCGGCTTCTCTTAACACGTTCCAACAGATGACTTATTTGGCCGAGAGTTACACTGCGAAGCCCGACAACACGTTGTTCACTGCACGAATACACTACTCGACGTGATACGTTGCAGTATTTTGAACTACGCGGGGGCCTGACCCACGACTCCGTTACTTCTCCGCACTGGTGCTCCTCTAAACGTTACACCGGCGGGATCTGTAGAAATAAGGAGGCGAAGACCGAAAATCACACGTCCGCAATGGACGCCGACCTGACTACAGTGAGCCCACCAGGAGGTACACCACGTAGGTGCCTCCTTTTGGTGTCTCCTATGCCGAAGGGCAATCACACAGAAGTATGGACGGTACCGCCGACTTCTGTATGATTCAACGTGTATACGTTGGAATCGACCGTTAAATGCCGCACAGGAGGGGTCGAACACCCTATTGGTGTATTCTCGAGCCCTCCAAGATATGCAGTAAATTTAAACTAATTAAACTCGATCGAGATTTGCTCGAACGAGAATCAGGTGAACTTGCACGAATCGAGATGCGAATCGTGTTTTCCAAGCAAGGTGGGAATGAATTTCCGACCTTTTCGAGCAAGGCTCGCTACACCCTTTTAACAATAGCAGTCTTTTCGGCTTTCTCGCAAGAGGATTTTCCCTCTTAAATCGCGATTAACTTCTGATCGAATATGATCGGGAGCCGATGCGTCTCGTTCAGAAGTCGCCGTAAGAATGATACGGATTGACAGCCGAAGACGTCGCCGCGGTACTCTTACTGGTCGTTCCGTGGCGCTGTCTGAATTTCGGCCGTCTCTCCTTGTCACATTATCGGCGCACTACTCTCTCACGGTACTGACGTCACTAACACCGTTAGCACACTCGAATCGAAAGGTAATGAGCCGTTACCGATGCCAGAAAAACTAATAATACACACGTTTTTCAATCACCGTTCGCTATACAAATCCAATTAGAGATAATCTCTTGCTTATTGTACGTTAACAGGATTAACGGTAATTGCGGCCGAGGATAATCGCTCGGCATTATGCAATCTTTAAACATAATGTAAATTATTTATGTGTGATGGGCTTACTCTACATATATTACAGGATGTCGTCGATTTCTGGCCTGTTAACACATTACACACTTTACCATCAATCATGGTACAATATAAAGCGTGAGCGATTTTAAAACATTTATTGGACGCATTTTCCACTATAGCTGTAGGCTGCAGATTTTTAATTTCATTCATATAGAAATTGTAATTCTCCAAAGTGTTGGATGCTGTTTCTTTGGCAAATTTAAATTTAATTGGTCTGCAAAATCTTACAGAGGATGGCCTATCATTTTTCCATAAAACACAACTACTATCGCGACTGTCTGTCAATATTAACGGCACATAACATATAATAAACACTGTACTGTCAGACATAACTTTTGTATTTTCGTCGTTATTTGTTGACCACTTTTGTTTAAAATTTTGTTGGCCAGAAGCACCATCCATTCCCCACTTTCCATGTAAAGTTAACTTTTCAGTGTCTATATCGGGGAAAACTTGATTTGGTAGTGATTTCATGATTTGAGATGTTGTGTGATCCAGAAGGGATTGTAATTTGATTTCAGCACCATTTTCAGTGACAGTTATATTTTCAGGGTAACATTTTTTTTTAGCAGCCTGAATCTTCGCATAAGAAGGATAAAGTTTATCTCCGAATAAGCGTTCACTATAAGTTCGAAGCAATTCGTATTTTCTCTTTGATAGACCCAAGTCTATATACATTGCCAGAACTTCATTTATAAATGATTCTTTTTGTTCATTCTCTGGTAGCAAATATTTGCAGTATTTTTTATTGTTGGGTGCAACAGCTGCCCCCAACTCTTCTTGGCTATACTTGCTACGAAGCTCATGTGACCGTCTTTTTTGGGTCTTACTGCTACAATCTTCGTACCATTTGCGTGGACGGCCACGACCACGATTCCCTACATTGCCACACGATGAACTATCATTGGGATTAATAATAGCAGGTTTGGGGCGCATCATTTCAAATGATATTTTAACTTCGTTTTCCATAAACTGCGTGTACTTTTTTACAAAGATTGCTCGTGCTCGATTAACATTTGCCCAATATTTTGAATATTTGGAAATAAAACTATTAGCTACATGTTTTTTTATTTGTAATAGTTGCGTTTTATTGTAGTTCTTATCTTTTTTTATATATTCTATTATTAGTTCTAGATGTGACTTTCTTTTATCATTACTATTCCAAATACATTCACATAAAATTTTATTTTTAAGTATAATATCAGCCATCTTATGAAGTATATAACGCAACTTGAATTAGCAAACAGAATAAATCGGGAAGAAAAAAAAATTATAAAGGTGCAAAGAAAATAATTTTTAAGGAAAACAGTTTTTATTAAAATATAAGTGAATATTATAAAAGTAACAAGTAATATGGCGTAATAGTACAAAACTATGAAAATATGGAGTAAACACGAAATTATACGGATGAAATACGTATAAACCGCAAATCGAAGTAAATTGAGCCTGTCAAACCGGTTACATTTATAGTCAACATGATACACTTTAAATTGTGAGATTTAAGGTTTTCCGTATTCCATCTAGTGGATAAAAGGTAAAGTTCGAATGTAGAAACGAGCATAGTCCAGTAATGCGAGATAGTCCAATATACAGGGTGTTCGGCTACTCCTGGGGAAAATTTTCATGGGGGATTCTAGAGGCCAAAATAAGACGAAAATCAAGAATACCAATTTGTTGATGAAGGCATCGTTAAAAAGTTATTAACAATTACATTCAAAAATTTCGAATCGTTCTAGAAAAATTATTTTCGGTTGCGGGGGTCAATTACAATCACTTCTGGTGAATAGACATACCCCTGAAATCCTGCGCATTTTCGAGAAAAAAATTCAGTACGGGCGGAACTTTAAACGTTAATAACTTTTTAACAAAGCCTCTATCAACAAATTGGTATTCTTGATTTTCGTCTTATTTTGACCTCTAGAATCCCCCATTAAAATTTTTCCCAGGGGTGGCCGAATACCCTGTATTTCGTTCATCAAGTAGTATAAATTCCATTTTAAATATATTCATTTGTTAATAACAATGTGTTATTAATTTTAAAATGTCATTAACACTTGCAATGAACTTAATTCAAGATATTTTTTACGAGAGATTCACATAAATAGCCTTTCTTGATCCTGGGAATTTCCCCTTAAATATCTACGTGAAAATACATATAATACTATATTATTAATATCTTTTCAATAGGCAAAAATATGCAAACGGGATTTGTTTCTTAATTTTAAGGATACTTTAAAGAAAAGATTTATCCTAGTTTCGTTCAGGCATAATGAGGCAAACTTATTAAATTTCGCATCGGAAGTTTACTTTCTTATTCAAAATCGAGCTAATACGCTGGGGCAATTTTTAAACTTGAAAATAATTGTTAAACATATTTCAAAACAATATTAAACATTTTTTTATCGATGCAATATATAAAAAGCTATATAAGCAAATTTTTTCATAATTTTTCACGTAGCTCTAGCTGTATACGATGAGTTTGAACAGATATAAAAATATTACGAAACTAAACGGATGAGCGTTAACGACAATACTTAAATATACATATCAACTTATATTTAATAACTTTCAACTGATTTTACTTGATTTTCATAAACTTTAAAGTATTGTTAAAGACGTGAAATAATTAATTTCGGTCATCTAAACAAAAGTTAAAATTCGATTTTTGTCCTCATGTCGCCCACTGTGCGGTCCGTTGGGCATGGCGCCTCGTCTCCTCGACCGCTTGCCTCCTCTCCTCTGGCGGTCTCCCAGCCTCCTGGAGCTCCCTGGAGTGCCGGTAGACTTGCCGGTTTCTCCAAGCTAGGAGCTCCAGAGGACCCGCTTCGGGCCTAGGCAAGGGTGATGCCACGGCTGGTCGTAGACCAGTCTTCTTCGCAACGTTTTTACGTTGAAACGGACCTTTAGGTTTTTCAACCCTAGGTTTAAAAGATACTTGTTCTTCAGTATCTTGGGCATCATGATGGGTTTTTGCTTTGTTAGACATTGTCTTGTTGCGTACTACGCGAGATTCACCAAAAGAAATCTATTTGATCTCTAATAATATGCGGAGTTTCTTTTTGAAATATTATTCGTATTGGGCGGTAGTAGTGAGGTGATGACGGAAACGGATTTTGCCATATAATGTTTTTTCCTAACAATAAATAAAAACATTTTTTTAATGAGAAAAATTGTATCTGTAAACTAATACAATTTTAGGTTTGAATTGTTGTATTTACTACAAATTAATCGCAATGTCAACATCGAAGTTTGGAATATTTGAGCATCGCTATCATTTTCGTTTTCAAATTTTTGTTTATATTCCACTTGTTGTGAACCGTCACACCCCCACTTGCTAATTAGTTCTAGTTCACGCTGATTTTCTTCTAATTTTGATAATACGTCTTCTAAATATTTAACTAATCGTGTCGTGATCTAGTAGATCTTGTAAATTTACTTCGACACATCTATCTGTCACGTAAAAGGCTTCTGGCTTTGGTTAACAGTGATCCATTTCATGACGTAATTTTTTATAGGACGGATATAATGTCCTGTCACAGGTCCTTATAATTTCATATTGCCTTCGCGATAAATCTGCGTCAATGTATTTTTGTAGAGCAACTAATGTTGACAGTTGCTCTCTCTGGTTATTTTCTGCATTTACATATGCTGTTCTTAATTTTTTAGCTCTGCCCGGAGATGCTCTGATGTCTCTCAATATTTTTGATGCCTCTAGTTGCCCAGACATTCGGAGCTTTGATTCTGTCGCAAACTGCAATTCCTCTAATTCTGAATTTTCTCTAATATCCTCTGTCCTTTTTCTTTTGCTACGTTCGGATAGTTCTTCAAAAAATTTTCGGGGTCGTCCCTGTTTATTTATAGGTTTTGGAACAGTGAGAGTTTGCCGAAACCAATTTTGGTTTTGTTTTAGGAAAAGGTCGTGTCGTCTATTCGCTAATTGCCATCTTCTTCTGAAACGGGACTTCAATGTTGCAATTTTTGTTTTCAAAATTTTCTGGTTCTCCACAGAATAATTATCCTGGCTCATTAAGGACGACTCTAAAAATTCTAGTTTTTTCTCAAAATCATGATTTTGATGCTGTGTCATGATGCTATACAACTGCATCATTGAAAACACACGTACTCCTGATGAACCTTAGGATTTTAAAAAAAATGTCACCCTATTAAAATTAAACTTTTGCTGCGAAAACTGTATTAACAAACTACAGTAGAACCTCGGTTATCCGAACCTCATTTATCCGAACGAAATATTGCTGAACCTCAGATATACAGACTCGTGACTGAGCTTCTATTATCCGGACAGTGGTCGCGCGCCTCTCAGTTATACGAACCCGTATTCTTAGGTATACGAACCCGTATTCTTAGGTATACGAACCCGTATTCTTAGTTATACGAACGCGTATTCTTAGTTATACGAACGCGTATTCTTAGTTATACGAACGCGTATTCTTAGTTATACGAACGCGTATTCTTAGTTATACGAACGCGTATTCTTAGTTATACGAACGCGTATTTTTAGTTAAACGAACGCGCATTCTTATACAAATGCAATATGTAATAGGAGCTAACATTTGATACAAGATGAAACGTAATTTAATACAATTAATAAATCTGTAGATCATTTTTACATATTGTTCACAATTTATTTTAAAACATTTATATGTATGTACATAGACAAAACAATTAGGTCTTAATAGCATAAGGGAAAATAATTGATAATAATAAATATAATTAGTTTTTATCCGTTCGCAATTTTTGAACATGCAAGTTCTTTTAAGTTTTGGAGACATTTTAATTCACACTTAGCAATATTCGATTCTGGCTGTGCTTTGAACCATTTTATTGCAGTCTTAAAAGCAGCTAGTGCATCGGCATCGGTGGGAACTTCTTCATTGATCGCTAATTGTGATTCTTCTGACTCCTCTGATTCTTCATCATCAATTACTTCCTCTATTCCGTCAGTTGTTGCATTGTGTCCTGTAAATTTGTCTACTAGTTCTTCGTCAGTTAAAATTTGGAAGCCGTGATCGTTTTTATCTCTTCCAAGCCATTCGTTGGTATCTTCAATTTCATTATCAGTATAACACGGAATGGTTCTTGCAACCTGGTGAATATTTAAAATTTCTTCTTCATCGTCCCTGCTTCTTCTTTCGGGCACCTCCACTTCGTTGTCACGAAGGAGTTTTCTCCATGCGTTGCGAAGATTGTCCCGTGTCAGCGAGATCCATGTTTCATTTATTATATTGCAACAATCCTTCAATGTTATATGCTTGACAAACTGAACTACATTTTGATTCTCTTCAAGCAGTATTTTTGTAAGTAAATTTTTACGATATAATCTTTTGGTCTTCTCGATAACGCCCTGATCCATTGGTTGGATTAATGACGTTACATTTGCCGGGAAAAATATAACACGGAACATTTCATCGGTCAATGTATTCAATTCTGCTACAGAATGTGATGGAGCGTTATCCAGTAGGAGTAACACTTTTCCTTTATTCCCTGTGGTTTCCTGATGCCGTTTAACCGCTGGAATAAAATCGGAAAGATACCAGGCTTTGAAAAGTTCCGTATTCATCCATCCATTTTTTTGTGCCTTATAATTGACCGGAAGATTACTAACATGCTTAAAGCACCGGGGTTTCGCATATTTCCCTATCAAAAGTAACGGGAGTTTATGTGTTCCCGTGGAACATAATTGTCACCCGATCTTTTGAAATCTTATGACCAGGTGCGGTAGTTTCTGCACTTGAAGCAAGTGATTTTCGGGGCAATGATCTCCAGTACAAGCCAGTTTCATCGGCATTGTATAGACAGTCTTCCGAATATTTATGCTCTCCTATGAAGTCTGATAAAAATTTCTTAAATATTTCAGCAGCTTCCATGTCCGCTGAGAGCTTTCCCCCTTGAATATTCAATAATCGTATCCCATGGCGTTTTTTAAAATTTTCCAGCCACCCATTACTGGCCCTGAAATTGTCATTGCCTCCCATCTTTGAATTCAACTGCAATGCTTTTTCGCATAAAATTGGACCGCTGATGGGTGTCCCTATGACACGCTGTTGCGAGAACCATCGGAAAATTGCACTATCCAAATTACGATTCTCAGCAGCCGACATCACTTTTTTCTTAGTTGCATTTCTATTGTTTATGAGTATATTTTCGCGATACCGTAAAATCTTATCTTCGTTTGATTTTAATCCGAATATTGTTGACTTTCCGATGTTATACTCCTTTGCTAACGCAGATCCCGATTCACCGTTTCTCATCCGTGTTAAAATATTACATTTGTCGTCGAGACTTAGCACCACTCTTTTCCTTTTTAAAGTCTTGTCACACGACATTATTGAAAAAATATAAACGTACACTTTTCACACTTTTCTCCTCTTGGTGTTGTCACTTTGAATTTTTGACTTAATCTCCCTTCGTGTCGAGGTTACCAAAAAAAAGTAACCTCGCAATGGGCGTGACCAAGGTCAGGAAAAGAAAAATTTTTAATAATTTTTGCGAGCCCGGGGTTTTCCGCGAGGCGGTTACGGGCCCAGGTCAGCGGTTGGTGCCCAGATATGTCATGCGGTACCTGAGTCGCCATAAAACACCTGGCACCGGTTGTCGATGTTATTGCAGGTAGTAAAGTCATGATTTGGAAATGAATTTATTAATTAAATAGTGGTCTTAGGGGCACTAGGTTGTAAGCAAAAAACCTTGACTGTTTATGAATGTTTAGAGGCTGTGACTCTACATCCGCTGGCTTTATGAGTTTACTGTTGCGCTGTAACACTCGCGTTACCAGGGTAGTAAAGTCATACAGAGACTGGATTTGGAGGGCCATGCGGATTTAAATGAATTTATTAATTAAATAGTGGTCTTAGGGGCACTAGGTTGTAAGCAAAAAACCTTGACTGTTTATGAATGTTTAGAGGCTGTGACTCTACATCCGCTGGCTTTATGAGTTTACTGTTGCGCTGTAACACTCGCGTTACCGTGTCGTAACATTCGAACTTCAGTTATTCGACCGTCAGCCCTTCTTATCCGAATGACTAAAAACACGTTGGAAGAGATAAGTACCTGAACCTCTATTATCGGACCACCTCGGTTATCCGAACTGCCTTGTCCCCCGACGTGGTCGGATAAACGAGGTTCTACTGTATATAGAAGATGAAGAAAAATGGCGAAATTCAAATATATATATCTGTACCTACCTGCTTCACTTAGAAATTCCATTACTTTAACACTAAATATTTCACTCACAACTTACAAGTTAGGAACGTCAAACGACAAATGCTCCAAATTCGTGATCGTTTTATGCTTTTATAGCATTCGAGGCAAAAACAATGGAATGTATGCATTGTTTCCTAGTTTTGATGTATTTTTGTGAATCGTAACAATGCTCGCAATTGCCGACGCTCGCACGTGCCGAAACAGTTGATCATGTTTATATTTTTCGCAGTAGCAGTTAGTAGCAGCTAATTTTTTTTAAAAAAAAAGGTAAGGCTTCACTCTACAAAAAGCAACTAAAATGAACACTGAATCACACTGCATTCATAATTAAAAAATAAAATGAAAACTAAACATGTTCAATTCGTTATAACTCAAAAAATGTTGGATATATAAAAGTGTACTTTGGTGTAATTTAAATACGTACTAAGTACATTTAATTCAATTACTCATCATTTACTTTGAAGAATCAAAGCAACAATAAACGATGATTATAATTTTGGATGATTTTAAGATTGAACGTTTCAAAATCATGTAGTCGTATCAAAAATCGACAAATGATAAAAAAAATCACACTAAATCATGGCCCATGTGTCCTATTAACTATTAGTGAATCATTATTTCATTGTGGGTATATTTGTATAAAACCACTTTTTGCCGCGTTTGGCATGCAATGACCCCACTGTGCGACGTTGCGCCCTCACTGCAAGATTTCCTTCGGGCCACCCGCGCTGGACCTACTTGGCGAAACTCCGATGGGTATTCGTCGAGTGTCCTCCGGAAATCCCTAATTTATGACGGTCTCTATTTGCTGTTGAGGGACTTAGAAAAATAATTTACTAAAAGCATTCGCTACGCTACACTGCCCGAAATTGCCATAAAGCCACCTAATTTTTTGGTGAAATCTTATAATTACGTCATAGTAACGAGAATCTGGTGCATTTTGATAGCATTTTAGGGTTACTAAACGAAACCATATACATGATTACATTCATAGATATATTATTTATTTATAAAAAACGTAAAGTTATGTAGTTTAACAAAAAACGAACTACGAAATTTCCATAAAGCCACACACTTTTTAAGTAGATAACATGAAGATTAACAAAAATTTCTTCTCTATTTCTAAATTAATACTTAGTATAAGTGTAATTTTTTCGAATAACGTCGAAAATTCGATTAGGCATTGATGAAATCAAAGTACGAAGAGTTTCTGCTTCGATGGATGTCCACGCCTCGTTCACCGCAGTCCATAACTCAGAAACAGAGTTGTACTGTTTACAATTGCCATATACTTTTCTGGCAAGTATTCCCCAAAGGTTCTCAATTGGGTTTAAATCTGGCGAACAAGCTGGCCATGTCAAAATCCTGATATCATTGTCCTCTAACCACTCCTTTGTTTGTCTTGATGCATGAATTGAGGCGTTATCATGCTGAAAAATGAAGTTGTCACTCTCAATTTCTTCTGTAAATGGTATCAAGACCATCTCCAATAGTTCCGCATATTGTGTCGAATTCATTTTATAATTAATTCGACAGATTGGTGTTTTTTTATTGGCTCTGAATGCAGCCCAAATCATCAATAAGCCACCACCGAAGTTACGACTCATTGCAACGTCAGTCTCTTTTCTTAAATCGTGCCAGTAATATTTGTAACCGTCTGGCCCATCCAGGTTAAATTTTTTCTCATCGGAGAAAATGATATTTTCCCATTCTTGTGTCCAGGACATACAGTTAGGAACAAAAGTATTGGCACACCTGACTCTTCATTATAGAAACGCATATAAATCAAAGAAAAAACACAGAGATAGGTTAATTCTTTTTAGTAATTACAACTATTAGGTTTATAGTTTGAGAATATTACAAATTAATTTATACTAATTTATTACAAAATAAAAAAGAATAATAAAATGCACATTAATGGCAGTTTTTAATGGAACAAAAGTATTGGCACGCTTACAAATAGATGGTATATTATTATGTATTTTATATAATTTAATATTTCGTGTGTAATCCCTTATTGTTTATAACGGCTTTCAATCTATTTGGCATGGAATGCACTAGTTTTTTTGTAATTTCGGGACTTATTTTATTCCATTCTGTCATCAATATTTCTTTCAATCGTTGTCTATTTGTTATATTATGTTTTTTAATACATTTTCCTAAATGAGCCCAGAGATGTTCGATCGGGTTTAAATCTGGGGATTGCGGTGGGGTTGGTAAGGAATGTGGGGTATTAAAAACTATCCATTGCCGTACCAAATAAGCGGTATGCTTGGGGTCATTGTCCTGTTGAAAGACATATTGTCTCCCAAGATTTAATTTTTCCACGCTTTTTTTTAGATTATTTTTTAAGATATCTAAATAGACATATTTGTCCATTATATTATCAATAAAAACAAGCTCACCGACTCCACTTGAGCTCATGCAACCCCAGACCATCACTCCACCACCCCCGTGTTTAACAGTGTTCTGAATGTTCTTTGGGTCTAGTTCGGTATTAGATTGTCTCCAAACTAAAGTGCGTCCATCATTTTGAAAAATATTAAATTTAGACCCATCAGAAAAGAGCACTGTATCCCAAAACTCGTTTTCTTTATTAATGTAATCATTTGCAAACTTTAATCTTTTTTCTTGATTAATTTTACTTATAGTAGGCTTTCGTCTAGCAACTCGCGATCGGTATCCTACCTTGTTTAATATTCGTCGAATAGTTATTTTATGTACTTCTTTATTAAAACTTTCGTTTATATTTGCCGCTATTTCTGACGCAGAACTAGATGGTTTTCCTTTTACAATATTAATAATTTTTCTCTTTTCTCGTGCACTCAATTTTTCAGGTCGACCACATCGCGGAGCACTTACAAAATTTTCTGTGTTAGAAAACCGTTTAATAATACTTCTAATTGTAAAACGACTTCTATTAACTATATTTCCTATAGACGAGTATGAATGCCCCTCATTAAACAAATGTAAAATAATTTTTCGCTCAGCAACAGTCGTTTCTTTGCCTTTGCGCTCCATTTTGCACGTTTTCACGTTAGATTTTGTAAACAATTGTGTTAGAGTACTAAGTGACTCTAACTGTGGTTCCGGACGAGGGAAAAGACAGGGTAGAGAAATGGTTACAAGATTTCAACTAATTTTTTCTTTATTATAAACAAGAGTCAAATAAAAATACAATTTGTGAATAATGCGAAAGTAAATAAGACAGGAATTAAAGGGATTTTCCTTGACGCCGACCGCTCAATTTGGTCGCGTCTCCTCTTTCCTATTGTTACTGGTTTCTGTAACACAATTATACGAAAAGTATAAGTATCTGCGGACAGCGATCAAGTTAACGCGCACGTCAGCTGCTTACCTCACGCTCCAAACGATTGTCTGGTGGGCGCAGAGGAGAGCTAACTGCCGATTTGGCGCAGCAACGAGTGGACTGTAATAATTTGCTTTTTTGGTCGGTGGTATTCGTGAAACACGATCTCACCGACACGCGCAACTGAGTAGACGAGGTTTTCCTCCGATCTACCGGGTTCACTTAGCAATGCCACGGACGGGAAACCAAGTGCAGGTTGTAAGGCTCCAAGAGGCTATATCCCGCGAGGACGCTCACCGTGCGGGTGGCGTCTGGACGGCATCGACGCAACAGGACTTTTTGACTGTTCTGGGTACCTCGACGGCGGCTCCTCAGGAGCGACCTGCGGCCTGTCCACGCAGCTACCTCGATAACGGTTCCTATCAAAAGGAACCGCCCGGCAGCCTGCCGTGACTACCTCGACAGTGGCTCCTATGCAACGAGGAGCCTGGCCTGCGGCTCGCCGAATTAGGATGACGTCCTTTGCAATTCCAACCACCCTACGGTCACAGCCCAGTGTGGTCGACTCACATCTGGTAGTGGGTGTAGCGGTGGAAGGACGGTGCTTCGAACCCCTTTGCTCCAGTGGTCGCTTGTGCTCAACGATCGTCACCCCACGACTTTGTCACTGGAGCGGGTTCTCTAAAGCCCGATGCACGGTGAGCACCGCGAAGTGATACCAATATCTGGGTATCCAACTTCCGGTTGCTCCTACGCCGTATAGCTCACACGGGTCGATGAAACCACAACTCCACCGGTCGGTGCACTCTATGT